ACGATCAGCTTGTCCGGCACGGACAGCAGCACCATGTCCGCGGGCTCCAGCAGGCGGGACACGCCCAGGGCCGCGAAGCCATCGAAGGCCTAGGGACCGAGTGCTTGGCGTCAGCGGTGGCAGCCGCGGTTGGCGGTCGTTGCCCAGCTACGCGGTGGCCCCACCCTGGACCGCCCGGGGTCCCCACGACCCGCATGCCAGGGTTTGCCTAGCAACGCCTTCACTCCCCTATTGGAGGAAGAGTAGCAACAGGGCAGCGCTCCTGTAACCCAGCAACTGCGCACGAAGGAGCGGTTTTGGAAAAACCAACTAGTGGAAATATGCTTTAAAAACCCACACACTGCTGAAACCGGTTTGGATCAGTGGATAGAGCGTCGGCTTGCGGACTGAGGGGTCCCGGGTTCAATTCCGGTCAAGGGCATGTACTTGGGTTGCCGGCACATCCCCAGTAGGAGGTGTGCAGGAGGCAGCTGATCGATGTTTCTCTCTCATCGATATTTCTAACTCTCTATCTCTCTCCCTTCCTCTCTGTAAAAAATCAATAAAATATGTTTTAAAAAAACCCACACAACTAAACGATGGAAATGAACAATTTCAATCTTAAAAGACCAAAAGGATAAAAGGTGGCAGAACTTCCAAAAGCCGCGGCTGGGGCCCGCCAGCCCAGATTCCTCTCCCACAGACACTGGGACCACAATCCTGGACCTAGGCTCTGGTCTAGACCAGTGGTTCTCAACCTGTGGGTCGCGACCCCTTTGGGGGTCGAACGACCCTTTCACAGGGGTCACCTAAGACCATCGGAAAACACATATATAATTACATATTGTTTTGTGATTAATCACTATGCTTTACTTATGTTCAATTTGTAACAATGAAAATACATCCTGCATATCAGATATTTACATTACGATTCATAACAGTAGCAACATTACAGTTATGGAGTAGCAACGAAAGTAATTTTATTAAAGGGTCGCGGCATTAGGAAGGTTGAGAACCGCTGCTCTAGACCCTCCTTCCCGCCAGGCACGGCTCCCTCCCAGCTCACCTGCTTGTTGTTCTGCTTGATGTTGAGTGGGTCAAGGGAGGCATAGTCGCTGTGGAGAGAGCTCTGGTCAGAGGCTGGTCCACATTGCCCTCCTGGCAGGCTCCCCACTTCATTCCCACCCCCTTTGGTGGCTCACATCTTGTCTGGGTAGAATCGGTGCAGGATGGCACAGAAAGCCAAACCGTTGCGCCAGGATGTAGTAAAGTTGGTAATTCGGACGCCACGGTAGCCAGCGGTGACCTCCTGGCACCACTCCAGTAGGGACTGGCTGGAGCTGACCAGGGCAGGTAGTGCCTGAGGACACAGGGACAGGCTTAGGGAATGTGAACATGTGCCCTCTGCCCCTTGGGCATAAAACAGCCCCAGCTCTGGGTTTGTCGGAGGCACCAGAGACCACTGGCCAGAGCCTTGGAGCCAGGCAAGAATTCCCAGCTCTGGGGTTCTCTACCAAAGTCACCTAAGAGATCAATGGCCCCCAGGCAAGATCAGAGGTCACAGCAGCCACACCTCAAGGTCAGCCCAGAAAAATCAGCTTAAGGATGTCCCACTCCATGCAGCCCAGGGAAGCCAGGGTGGGGGAGCCAGGGTATCCTGAGAGAGGAAGGGGTGAGGGGGCTCCTTGAAGCTGAGCCCGTCCCACCTCACCCCAGTCGACCAGGTGGGTCCATGCAGAGCCGCCGTTAGCTCAGCCCCAGGTTAGTGGGAAGCACAAGACTGGGCCCTCGGCAGCCCCCATTCCCTACCTGGCTGCCGGGCAGCCTCCTGTCCTCTTCAGGCTCCTCTGGGGAAGAGGCCCCCGAGGGCCTGGGCACCCCAGCCCCTGCCCCACTGGCCACCTGCGTCTCAGTCAGGCTGGCCTCAGCTTCTCTCCCCTTCTCGGTTCCCAAGACCCCAGCCTCTGCTTCCTGGGCCTCAAAAACACCAGATTGGTTCTCTGGAGGACCTAAAACTTCCACCTCTCCTTCAGGGGCCCCCCACCCCCCAGACTTGGCCTCTGAAATCCCTAAATCCCCAGCCTCCAATTCCTGGACCCTCAAAACTGCAGTCTCTGCCTCTGCTCCCTGGGACCTTAAAACTCTCTGCTTAGTAACTGGGGCCTTTAACGCCTCGTACATGAAGCTCCCGCAGAGCCCAGTCTCTGCCTCCAGGACCCCAGAGACCTTAGCGTTCTCAGCCTCCAAAACGGTCCTTTCTGTCTGCGGAGTCCCCAGTCCTTCAGCCTTTGCCACTCCAACCCCTGGCCCTGAGTCCCCTGAATCCCCCATCTCTGTCTCCTGGGCCCCTGCTGTCTCAGTCCCCACCCCTGGGACCCCTGAACCCCCAGAGGCTACCTCCTGGGTCCCCAATATCTCAGCTTCTGCTGTCTCAGTCCCCACCCCTGGGACCCCTGAACCCCCAGCTGCTACCTCCTGGGTCCCCAATATCTCAGCTTCTGCTGTCTCAGTCCCCACCCCTGGGACCCCTGAACCCTCAGCTGCTACCTCCTGAGTCCCCAATATCTCAGCTTCCGCTGTCTCAGTCCCCACCCCTGGGACCCCTGAACCCTCAGCTGCTACCTCCTGAGTCCCCAATATCTCAGCTTCCGCTGTCTCAGTCCCCACCCCTGGGACCCCTGAACCCTCTACCTCTGCTTCGTGGACTCTTGCTACCTCAGATTCTATCTCGGGGACCCTTGAACCCTCAGCTGTTTTCTCCTGGGTCCCCAGTACCTTTGCCTTTGCTGTCTCAGCCTCAAACCCTGGAACCTCAGAACCTCCTACTTCTGTTTCCTGGGTCCCCGAAGCCTCAGATTTTACTGCTGAGACCCCTGACCCGCCCACCTCTGTCTCCTTGGCCCCCAATATCGCAGGCTCTGCTATCTCAGCTTCTATTCTCAGTACCCCTGAGCCCCCCGTTATCACCTGGGCCCCCAATAGCTCAGTCTCTGCCACCCCCGTCTTTGTTCTCAGAACTCCTGAAGCCCCAGCCTCTGTTTCCTGGGTCTCCGGTTCCTCAGACTCTGCCATCCCAGCGGCTTCTGACTCAGGGACCCCCGATCTCACTGCCTCTGTCTCCTGGGCCTCCAACCTTTCAGCTCCTGCTGTCTCGCTCTCTACCTGTGGGACCGCTGATCCCTCTGCGTCTGTCTCCTGGGTCCCCAAAACCTCTGATTCCGTCATCCCCATCTCTGTTCCCAGGACGCTCAAGATCCCAGTTTCTGCCTCCCAGACCCCCAGATCCCTAGACATTGCCCCCTGGTCAGCTGTGGGTGGGGCTTCCTGGGGCCTGCTCACCTGGGGCCTGGTGCTTGCTGCTCCAACAGAGGGGCCCTGCTCCAGGCCTGTCCCCCCAACACCAGAGGCCCCTCCCCTCACCTCTGCATCCTCTCTCTCCTGGCCTGCAGCAGCCCAGGACCCCTCGGAGTCACTGAGATGCCTGGAATGCCCTGCAGGCTCTGCTGGGGGTGAGCTCTGGACAGTAGGAGCCTCATCCCGGGTCCTGACCCCTGTCCTCCCCTGAGAGGCCCTCAGAGGAGCCTCAGGAGTTCCCTGGAACCTTGCCTCAGACATCACCCCTGCAGCCTCTGGTCCCTTAGTGTCCACATGTCTCACCTTTGACCTCTGCTCAGCATCCACTTGACTAACTTCTGAACTCGCTTCAGCCTCCCCAGCTCTGACCTCTGACCTCTTGGTGTTCACGCCTCTGGGTCCTGACCCCTGCTCAGCGTCCACCCCACTGGCCTCTGGCCTGTCCCCAACGGTGCCTTCCTCAGCCTTGGCTTTCTGCCCTCCCAAAGAGTTTCTGCAGCCTCCATCCTCAACGCCTGGGCTCGGCCTGGCTCCCTGGGCCTCTGTCCCTTCCTGAGGGCTTGCCTGGGCCTCGGTCTCCCCAGCAAAACCCACTCCTGCGGGGGGAGCCCCTGAGGCTTTGGGGGCCTCATCTTTCCCTTGGGGGACTGAGGGCCAGGGGGCATCAGAGCCTTTCCGGAGCCGAGGGGCCGGGACGGGGGCCGAATCCTGGTCTGGATGTCTTGAGGACCTGAGGAGAGAGCAGGAGGGGGCGCTGGAGGAGTCATTGGCCCCCCACTCTCCACCCCAACCCCCCTTCCCCTCCGATTGCTGGGGTGCAGGAGAGGTATGTTGGTAGAGGGAGTGCAGCTTCCTCACTAGTCAGGGCATGGGGGTGGGGCTGGTTCCAAAGCTCACCTTGTCTCCAGTGGGGCTCCGGGGGGCCTTGGGGCTTCAGGCCCCACCTGGCCCCCGACTACAGTAGCTGGTTCTGACCCCTGGCCCCGGGAGGCCCTGGCTGGGGGCGCAGGGACACTCACAGGGGCTGGGCTGGTACCCTCAGTCCTAGACGGGCTGGCAGCTGGGGAAGAAGGAAGGAGAGCGGTGCTGAGGCCTGGGCCCCGTGACTGGAGGTCCAGGCCCCATCCAACCCCAGGCTCGGCCTCACCTGCCTGCCGGGGCTGTGGTCGGCCCTCCTCCTCCTCACAGAGTGTCTTCAGCTCCCGAGGGGGATCTGGGGAAGGGTTTGGAGGGGCATGTTCAGCTCAAGGCAGAGTCCTGAAGGTCTGACCCCCTCCCTCCAACTAGAGCGCTGGGCCTACCTGGGAGCCGGCCCGGCCTGAGGGCACCGCCCCGGCCTGCGAGAAGAGACAGGCCCGAGAACGCAGAGAAAAAGAGAGAGAACCAGGAGGACAGACAGAAAAAAAAGCCGTAATAAGCTAACGGGAGGGATAAGGAAGCTGGCGACAAGCAGAAGCATGGGTGGTGAGGGTGGTGAGGGGGGACTGCAGCCACTCTCTGCGCCTTGGGCACAGTTGTTATAGCACAAGTACAAGGTGGGGGAGGCACCCATTCAGGGGTGGAGAGGGCCAGGGGCAGGGGGACCCTGGGAACGCATCCTGCAGGACTCAGCCAAGGACCCAGGCGACCACAGGACCAGGGGCCAAGTCTGGACAACCAGGGTGGCAGGGCAGGTCAGAGCTGCCTGGGCAATGGCGAGCTCCCGTCACTGGGCGTGCACATGGCAAGTGGCTTATATATGGTCTTGGTGGTCAGTCCACGTCCATGGCCGTGAGCCCACCTGGCTGGGGGGCATGAGCCCGAGCCTCAGGGGCCCCTGGACCGCTAGCCTCCTCCTCGTCACTCTCAGCAAAGTCGTCCAAGTTGCCCACGTCACTAGGCTTCACGCTCATAAGGCTCGCAAGACTCTGCATGTCATCGTCCCTGGGGGGTCAGAGGTCAGGGGTAAGGGTTGGGGCCGGAGATGGAAAACTAGGGCCAAGGAGGGCGGGCCGACACTCACGTGGCACGGCCCTCTCGCAGCAGCACCCCCGAGAGGGTGAGGCTCAGCTCCGCGTGGACCACCTTCACCGACTTGGCCTTCAGCCGCAGCTGCAGCGGGACCTGGGCGGGCACGGGCCCCGCGTGGCGGGCCAGGTCCACCTCGGCCGAGGCCAGCACCTTCCGCTGCCCCTTGGACTCCTGTGGGCCAGGGGAGGGGCTGGAGGAATGAGTACAGTGCTGCCCCAGGGTCCCCCAGACCCCAGCCCACCACAGGCACTCACATTTTCAATAACAAACGTCCACTCTTTGGCCTCATACTGGTCCACGTGGGGGTCCTGGGAAAAGCGGGCACAGGTGAGCACAGGGGCTGCTGGGGGAGGGGCGGGGCTGGGAGAAGAGCCTGTGCCGGCTCAGAAGGTGTTGGTTGGGGCCTTCCCACGTGCTGGTCCATCCCACCTGGGCTGCCCCTAGCTTCTCCTGATCCCGGCTGTCTCTCCTAGAGCCGGTGGCAGGTAAATGTGACCTCCTCCAAGGAGGCCTCCTGGCCACTCACGCTGAACAGGCAGGCCCTGCTGCAATTCTTGGTCTCGGGAGTCTTTCCTCTTTGGAGTGACAGCCCAGCAGGGGAGCCCTGTGGTTGCCTGGGGCTGTGATCGCCAGCCCAGTCCCTTCCACGTGGAGGGCGAGAGACTCACCCTGTACAGGGTCACAGAGATGTCCACATTCTCAGGTACCATCCACACCACGGTGCCCCGGTAAGGGTTCTGGATGCCCGGCTGCCAGCTGTGGGCCTACAATGAGCAGTCTGAGTCCTCCCCCAATCTTAACCCTCCCCCTCCCCCTTTGCCCTTGTCTTCAACTTTGACCGTATCTTTCTCTCCATTCTGTGGATTCTGATCTGAACCGGAGTCCACGACCCCATCAGCCCTCACCCACTTTACCCACACCCCCCGTCACTGGCCCCACCCCTAACCTGTATCCCCAGCTAACATCTCCCCCACCTTGGAGCAGATGCGTCGGTTCCGCCGGGTCCACACCACCACCAACTTATCCGGTTGCCTGGGAGGGGTGGGGGAGAAGCGGGGGGCTGCTCAGTTGGGCTGCCCAGCTTCTCCATGTCCCCCAGGGACTACCCTCTGCCCTCATTCCCCTCCCCCAGGAGAGGGCATGGACAGCCCTTATCTGAAGCCACAGGGAGCAGGGTGGGGCTGCTGAGGCAGGGTGGGGCCCGGGGCAGAAGGGCAAAGGCCCCATGTAGGTCAGCGGGATCGTAAAGACCAGGAGCCAGGGACCGGAACACAGCAAGGACCCTGCAAGAGGCACAGCGCAGACTGAAAGAAGTCCCTTCACTCACAATCTGTGTGAAGTGCTTCTTAGGGTCAGAGCAGAGCAAAGCAGAGGCAGGACCCTTCTGGGCTCAGAACAACAAAGGTGGGGGGAGAGTGCTAATCAAGAAGAAAAGGCATTAGCTGACTTCGTGTCGTGCCTGCACAGAGCCTGCTTAAGGTTGGATGTGGGAGCAGAGGCATGAGTGGGGGAGGGATGGGCTGTGTGAGGGCTCCAGGTAGAATGGTCAGTGCACGGTCCAAGTTTGGGGGGAGGCCCTGAGTCAGAGTAGGGGGCAGGGGTGCGAGGTGATCAGAGGTCAGAGGGTCCACTGTTCTTAGACCCCCTCCCAGGCCCTTCTATGCCCAGTCCTTTGTCCTTTGCTGGGCCCAGGGACCCGGCCCTGCGTCCCACCTCTCAAACCCAGAGCCCTGGCCCCTAGCTCTGCAGGGCGCTTGACGCCTGTGAGGGGCCTCAAGGAAGACCTCCAGGCTCCATCTAAACTGAGCAGCATAAGCAGGGCAGGCGCAGAGGCAGGCAGAGGTGTGAGGAGACAGAGACAGTCAAGAGGAGAGTGTGCAGGGCCCAGTCCCGGGCACGGAGCTAACACATGGCTGGGCCGTGAAGGAAGAGGGCCCTTTGGGTCAGAGGGTCCACTGCTGCCCAGGAGGGCGGGTGGTTGAGGGCAGCAGGAGAGCCCTCCTTGCCTGTATCCAGCCCCCTGCCAGGGCATTTGAGCTCACCCAGTTCACTGCCCTCTGGACTCTGAGCCGAGATAAACGGCTCACTTGTCAAACCCTGAGGGTGCTGAGACCTGGAGAGCTTGCGGGGCCAGGAAAGGTCACCCAGCTGACCCTAGAGGCCTCAAGCTCCTTTCCCCAACCCCAAACAGCAGGGGATGGCTGAGCAGGGGTATCCATGGGGCCTTCCCAGAAAGGGGAAGTGGGCAAGGGGTGCCTAGGGAGGGCGGGGCCTGGCCAAGCAGTCTGACTCAGGCTGGGCACGCCCTCCTGGGGAGCTTCGACCTGGACAGGGGCAGCTCCCTAACCTGGGCTCAGAAGCCCAGGAGGCCCTGACTGCCCGCCCCCCCCGTGACTCACATGCGCTGACACTGCCCACACCCTTGGCCTGCTCTCCGGGACCATGTCCAGTATCCTCTGACCTTACCCAGAGTGCCAGGGTAGAAGGTAGAAGCCAGAGGCCGGAGCTCCCTCCCCTACCAGCCCTGTGCTGTGCCACCCCGGCCAGCCCATCTGCTCCGGGCCTCGCTGAGAGGGCTGGCCCCGGGCAAGACCAGGAATATGGCAGCTACCTAAGGGACCCCAAGGTCCCTTCCTGCCCCGGCAGCCCTTCCTCCTGGGAGCCTAAATTTAGCCTGGCGGGTAAGATCCCCTCAGCTGTGCCCTAATCCAGCCAAGGGAAGCTGACACCAGTGAACACATATATTTAGGGTGTGACGCAGGGGCCTAGGCAGCTGTGGAGAAGGAGATACCCCTGGGTCCTCTGGCAGCCCAGGCCAGATCCCGCATCCCCACATGTCTCCCCCACCCCACTACCTTGCCCTCTCCAGGCCTCCTCTTCCCAGACCCACAACCTCCCAGGCCCCTTTAAGCCACTCCCGCCGCCCTCCTCATCCCTCCCAGTGCTCAGTTTCCCCTTTTAAGGACATTGTGGAGATGAATCCAGCCTCCCAGAGCCCGGTTCGGCTTGGGGGGGGGGGTTCTCTGGCTCAACAAGCGGGCAGGGGAGGAGGGGACAGCATCCTCCTTCTGAGCTGGACTGAGGCCCATGAAGGCTGCCCCGGCCTGGCTGCCGGCACCTCCAGATTGGCCACCCTGAACCACCCCTCCGGCCCCAAACATGAGGCCTCCCTTCCCCCAGCCCTGAGCGCAGCTGAGGGAAGTGTGGGCGCAGTCTCAGGCCGGAAGTCCTGACTCCACTCCCTCAAGGCTCCCACACCCCCAACCCCTGGGGTCCCACAAGCGGCAAGAGCCCTTCTGAGCGTCTGTGCCTGGACAGCAGGGGCCAAGCCAGGGTGGGGGCCACTGTGGTCCTTGCGCCGGGGACGGGGTTGCCTCGGCTCCAAAGGCTGGATGGGGTCCCAGCCGGGGTCCCGGGCCTCCGCCCACTCACCATTTCTTGGTGCACTCCACCACCAGCTCGTGGTAACAGGCCACGAACTGGAACTTGGCGGCCCGTTTGCCCACGCGCTGCAGGCGCTTCCACACCGAGGTCATGGCCCCGCCGCCCCGCTCCTCAGAGCC